GTTGAAGCACCAGAACCGTCGCCATCATCTTCAACTTTACCACCAGTTTTCACTGCACCACCACCGGGAAACAACGGCGATGACGATGATTTCGTCCTACCACCAAACATTGGATTCCAATATGCATCACCACCACCACCAATGTTCCCAGGCTACTAAACCAACCATTTTTAATAATTTTTACATTTTGGTCCAAAATTTTTCCAGTTAACAAAGTTTGTAACAAAAGAAAAAAAAAACACATTTATGAATTTGACCATTGTAATCTGTAAGTAGATGATTTTTAGAAGTGAAAATTCCAAAATTTAACCGTGAACATTATATGTAATTCTATGTCTATAGCGTAAATTCATCACATTCTTTGTGCTTTCCTCTGTATTTTGTCTACATTTTGTGGATTTCACATGTGTTTATGCATCAAAGTTCGTTGTTTACTTTCCCAAGTATCAATATCCAATTATACATTCATATTTTCATACTGTTATAACTGTTATTATCGCTACAAAATAAAAGTACTTTATTTTCGGAATCTATATTATGCTGATGTTATTTGTAGAGAAAATTGTTGTCGATAGCACTTTCCAGAAAATAAAAGTTCATTGGCATTTATGCTACTATTCATGACGATTTTTCTTCTTGCCTTGTTGATGTGGATTGATTTGATGTCGTTGATTTGCTTTTTCTTAAGCGAACTTTTTTTTTTCCGTATGGAGATCTATATTACGATTGATTAATCATTCCGTTGCCGAAGAGGAACGTAATGTTTCGAAGATAGCTTTCTTGACGTTCCTCTTCCATTAAGAATTACTTCATATGATTATATCCTCTGACAGGCTTAATATTAGTTTTCAAATTCGTTCAACTTATATCGGTAACAAAGACATAATAGTTGAAAAAGCGACCGGTGCTCCCAAGATTCGACCACTTAAAATTTGGCCAAGTGTTCAAGCAATAAGTATAGTTGGTCTTGTTTTCCTATTTCTGCCTCAATTTGACCTAGCAGCAGTAATATTACGTTGTAGCAACTTGAAATGAGAGTAAGATGGAGCGCTCGTCAAAATCAAATGGCGACTTGCAATGACAATTCATGGATCTCTCTCAATAGATTTGTTTGCTTAATTTTACGTTAAACCACAATCAGCGCTCGTCAAATATCTTATGTGTTTCAACTTTAGATGCCGCCAGAAAAAAAGAAGCAAAGTTGTGGTTTCAAGTAATTCTGGGTTTGCTTTTTGGTCCAAAATTTGCAACTTTAAGCGGTGTTATATTTGTTATATATGTGACAGATATCTATCAACTAACGGTAAGAGTTTAGTATGATGAAAATTAAAAGAAATTATATGAATTTTAAACTCCAGTGCAGAATGTCATAACAAATATTTTCAACAAAAAAGTTCTTAATTTCATTTTCCATGTAGAATATCTATGACCAATTTGTTG